AGCTTTCAAAGGACAACTATATACTTGGTTCACAGACTATTTCCAAAAAAACAAGCCAAGAAACAAATGAAAAGTCCTCAGAAACTGCCCTGCCTGGTGTGGCTCAGTGGATTGAGTGTCAGCCTGTGAACCAAACAGGTTGCCGGTTAGATTCCCAGTTAGGGCACATGCTTGGGTTGTGGGCCAAGTCCCCAGTGGGAGGCAACCCCACATTGATGTTTCTCCCCCTCTCTTTCTCCCTTCCTTCCCCCTCACTAAAAATAAATAAAATATATTTTTAAAAAACTCCTCAGAAACTGATATTTCCTATGAGAAAACTGAAGTTTCTGACAAGAGTAAAATGCTAAATTTTTATTTAGTGATGGCAATAATCTATGATGAGAACAAATCCATCATTTTTCTCTTCAAAACAAGAAAAAGGAATTCTTGAAGCTAACTTTATTGAAGCTTTTATCTTATCACTATAGAACCTGCTAATGAAATACCAAATAAAGATTAAAATTATAAGGACAAGTAACCTGAGATGTGAAGCTACACATAGGAACCCCACCTTCCTTTGCAGAAATAAACTGCTTTAAAAAGCCAGGAACACGGTCCTGGCCAAGTGGCTCAGTTGGTTGCAGCACCGACCCATACACCAAAAGGCTGCAGTTTCGATTCCCAGTCAGGGCACATATCTAGGCTATAGGTTGGATCCCCAATCAGGGCACTTACAGGAGGCAACCGATCAATGGTTATCTTTCATATCAATATTTCCTTCTCTCTCTCTCTACTGCCCCCTCAAATCACTAAACATATCCTAGGGTGAGAATTTAAAAAAAAAAAACAGGAACATGAAGAAACAGGTAGTTCAACCACTGAAGCAACAACCACAGTAAATAAATATTAAGAAAAAATTTTAAGAAGCATGTTTTCAGTACAATATGACAATACAAAATAAGACCATGCTATCATAAATGCCTTTTCTTTCATACTGAAAACGTTTATAGAACTAAAGGTTTGCTAGTACAGTTCACACAATAAAAGCTCAACAGAAATTTTAAGTCATGACACATTTTCTGGTAAGGTTAGAGGTGATTTATTCCATGGGTGTTTTGGTAGCAGTCTCATGACTCAGAATGGTCTTTTGGAACCTGAGCTGAGATTTAAATGCATGTATAGGATGGCATTTTGTCTTCTTCATTAAGCATTCTTTCATAAACATTTTTACATTCTCAACAATAAGAAGTCCTCAAAAACATAAATCTTGATAATAGAAAAAATTCTAAAATACAGTACAGCTTTTTCCATTTTCTGTTGTGGTGATATACACATAAAATGTTATCATATTAATCATTTTTAGGTATATGCTTCAGTGGCATTAAGTACACTCATAATGTTGTATAACTACCTTCACCATCCATTTCTACAACTTATTTTTTCACTTCTGACTTTTTTTCATCACCCCAAACTCTGTACACACTTAAGAAATAACTCCCCTTACTTTTCAGCATCAGGTAATCTCTATTCTACTTTCTGGCTCTATGAATTTACCTATTCTAGGTACTGCATATGAGTGGCATTATACAGTATTTGTCCTTTTGTGTCTGGGTTATTTTACTTAGCATTATGTTTTCAAGGTTCATCCACATTATACCAGGTAGCAGAACTTCCACTCCTTTGTAAGCCTGAATAATAATCCACTGTGTGTAGATATACATGCATATATATACATATGTTACACATTTATATATACATATACAGGGTAGGGCAAAAGTAGGTTTACATATGTGAAAGTTTATTATTGTATTAGTTATAATTATATTATTTTTCATACAAACAACTATACACCTACTTTTGCCACAGCCTGTATATACAAACACACACATATTCTGTTTATCCATTCACGTTGATGGGCTTTGTGTTGTTTCCACCCTCTAGCCATTGTAAATAATGCCACTATGAACATCAATGTACAAGTATCTGTTTGAGTCCCTGCATTCAGATCTGTTGAGTATATCCAGAAGTAGAAATGCTGAATCATATGATAATCCTATGTCAAATATTTTGAGAAACTGCCAAACTGTTTTCCGTAGTGGCTATGCCATTTTATATTCCTACCAACAATGCCCAAGGGTCCAATTTCTCCACATCCTCAACAACATTTTTCCCCATTTATAGATCTCAGCCATCCTAATGGGTGTGAGGTGGTATCTCACTGTTGTTTTGATATGCATCTTCCTAATGACCAATGATGATGAAGGGCATCTTTTCCCATGCAGGATTGCACAGAGATCAGGAAGGTGGCTGAGATAGAATAATAGGTACTGGATTTGGCCTCCCTTCTGAAACAACTAAAAAAGGAGAAGAAAAGAAACCAGACAAAATACATGAAACAATGGTTCTCAAGACACTGGATATCAGACAACCCCTTAAAGTCAGGAAACAAAAAAATGAGTTCTACAATTGTCCCACCTTACTTTCTTGAGAGAATTTCCAAACCACACAGTAGAGGGGAAAACTGAGATGAAGCCCAATAGGTTCCCTGAGTTGAAGACAGAGCTCAGAGACCAGGCGGACCAAAGTAGCTCAAGTTCCTAAGAGAGAGTTGCACAGAGAACCCCGAATACTCCCTTCAGGAATTCAGCAGAGTACTGATCAGCATGTGCATGTGAAGAAACTATCCTAGGCCAGGGAAAGAACCAGCCAGAAGCCCAGGGTTTACAGAGTATCAGAAAACAGTACCTGTTACAGCCAGCCACAGTAGAAAAGCTCCTAATTCAAAGTATTATACATAATACTCAACATCTTCCTTCAGCAGTAGGACATAAGAGTAAGCACTTCCCCAGACCTACCTAACAAATCATAAAGCAACAACCAAAAGCATAAAAGTGTTTCAAAGTGCCTGTACCGCACAACAAAGTCCCAAAATATAAGAAGAAATTTTTTTAAATCCAGTTCCCAACAACATAAAATTCAGTCTGTATCCACTCACAAATTTCTAGGTATGCAAAGAAGCAGAAAAATACAACCTATAATGAAAAGAACTATCAATCAATACTAATAAACAGAAATGATGCATGATATATTTATAGAAAAAGCCATTAAAACTATTATAAACATACTTTGTTCAAAACACAGAGAAAGTATGATCATGGTAGGAAGAGACATAAACAACATAAGATTCATATCAAATTTTTAGAGATGACAAATAAACTGAATAGTATAAACAGCAGTTAGACACTGAAGGAATAAAAGGTTATTAAGCTAGAAGATATACAGATAGAAGCGATTCAAAATAAAACAGAGGGAAAAAATGATTCATAACATAACATCAACCAGCCTAGTTAATATACATGTTAATTTGGAGTCCCCAAAGGAAAGAAAAAGGCAGAACACTTTCCAAATGTGATGAAAACTTTAAACCCATATGTGAAGAATACAGTTACCATAGCAGACCTGGGATAGGTATCTTTTGAAAGCCTATTTGTAATGTTGATCCTTGTCTATCTCTGGGAACCTCGATTTTAGGAGGCTTTCCATCACTCCCTAAGTGGTAAGAGTGGTTCCCTATGCTGAAACTGTGCAAATAATAAGGCTTATGCTGACTACCTGTTTTCCTTCTTGAAATCTGAAATGTTGGTACCTGCTAGGCAGAGTGCCTACATTACCAGCCTCCAATAAAACTCTGGGCACTGAGTGACTAGTATGCTCCCCGGCCAGACAACAGTTTACACATTTTATCAAAACTCACTGCTGGAGCAATTAGGCATATCTGTGTGACTTCCCTGGAAAAGGACTCTTGGAAGAGAGTCTCCCTGGACCACAACTAGGCAAATCACAATCAAAATCTTAAAATATCAAGAGTGATACTACCTTCAGGATTCTTGAATTTTATTTTCTTTTTATAATCCTCACCCACACATATACTTATTACTTTTTTAGAGAGAGAAGAGAAGGGTGGGAAAGAGAGAGAGAAACAAAGATGTAAGAAACATCTATTGGTTGCCTCTCGCATACGCCCCAAATGGGGACTAAACCAGCAACCTAGGTATATCCCCTGACTGGGCAATCGAACCCATGACCTTTCGGTTTACGGGACAACACTCCAACCAACAGAATTAGCCAGGGTGCTTCAGCTTCTTGACAGCAATTCTGGAACTAGAAAACAATGAAGGCTTCAAAATTCTGAAGAAAAATTTTTTCCAACATAAAATTTTACACAAATTTTCAAGCACATATTAAAGGAGATAAATGCATCTTCTCACATGCCAAGTCTCACAAAATTATCTTTCACAAATCCTTTCTTGAAAGCTTCTGGAAGATGTACTCAATCAGACTGAGAGAGAAAACCAAGATAGAGGCAGACATGGAATCCAGGATTATGATGCTCCAAATAGGAAGAGGTAAAAGGAATTCCCAGAGAGGAGGTTAAAGGGCATTCCCAGAAAGAGAATGAAGGGAGACCTAAGGATGGCAACATCCACAAAGCAGAGAGGATGCTGAGTTCAAACTGGAGCAGTTAGAAAGTTGTGGGAAAGAGCACTCCAAGACAACAAAACTGATAATATGCCTATGTCTAAAAATCTTAACAGGAGGGCTATGCAAAAGTGAAAACATTAAACTATGTAAACAAAACACCAAAATAATTAACTGTAAGGAAAATAAAGAGTTGTGAAGGAAAAGTAATCATAATATCTACCTCAGTTACAAATATTATTTATTCACAAGTATGTCATGTTGAGTACTAATCTAACCAAACCATGATATATGTGCTCTGAAAGAATGGAGGGATGGGAAAAGTTCAGTGGGTAGTAAGTTGTGGGCAGGGGGTGAGGAGAGAACTCCATATTTTCCAGATTTAGAAGTACATTATAAGCATGTTATCTGGAGATAAGGAACAAAAGAATCCACTAAGAGTCAAAAGTTGTTATCCCTGAGGAAGGAGTGAAAGACCACCAAAAGGCTATGATTAATAAATGCCATAAAAAGAATAAAAATTCTGAACCAATTGTTCTTACCTTAGGAAGCTCAGAAACACTCTCTTCACTTTTCAAAGAATGACTGCTTTCACGAGAAGCCGAGTCTGATATTTCTACAGCACTCTCACCATCTTCAAATTCATTGTATTTATTAGTGTCTTCCCTGTCACTGTCACTGTCCCAATCAACACACTGTAGTTCATCTAGAAAATACAATTATAAACTCAATTTTATATAAGCTAAATACAATTTAAACCCAACTTTATTAATTTTAAATCAATTTTTTCTATTCTCAGGAGTTAAAAAAGATCTGCATTGCTCAATAATTTAAGTATGTATTTAAAAACAATGAAAAGTATATTCCTACTACTCTTCTCGCTGGCCATCCTATTTCTCCAAACTCTTACCCCACTCCAGTTCTCAAGTTACTACTTTTATTAGTTGTTTTGCATCCTTCTAGAGTTTCTCCAGCTTGTTAAAGCTGTTAATTTTATCCTTTCTGATGCTTTTTTACTTAACATAAATGACAGGTTTTTCCACATCAGTAAATATGAAGCACCTTCATTCTTTTCTGTAATATAGTATTTCATTGCACAGTTGACCCACAATTTAATCAATCCTCTATTAATAAAAATTTTGTCAGATTTTCACCCAATATTTTTTATAGATTTCTCATCAGTAATGTAACAAAGTAAATTTATAGTTTACTTCATAAGCATTATTATCTAGATAATACTTCTGCAAAATTTTAATTTGAAAGTTATATTATGTTCATATATCAAGTAACCAAATATACTGACTCTTTCCTGCATTACAAGGATCTGCGAGTACTCCTTCACAGCTGCTTCAGCCACTAAGAGGGCCAGTAAGATTATCTTGGCCCTTTTTGAGGTCTGATGGTAAACAATCTTACTTCCATATAGAAATAATATTAAAAATAAAAAATTTACTAGCTTTAATATCTAAAAGTAATTCAAAATAAAAATAAAAGAAAAATTTAAGCTAAGGTTAAAAGCATAAGATAAAGTAAACAAAAAATAAGTCTTTAATCAGATACTGTTGTTCCAAAAGATGAGGTAGAAGTCCAATGTAACAATTACAAAAACTGGAGGTCAGAGAGATCTTAGAAAAGCAGAGTGTATAAAGGCAATTATTTCCCGTATCTTACATCTCATTCACTCATGAAAGCTACACAAAGAAATACATAAGAAATTCTCTAAACTGCTGAGATAGCACTTCAGGAAGCCACAGAGAGCCTGAGGAAGAATACAAGTGCCCTCAGAGCTCCTGCCACTGCAGCCAGCATGGTACATTTGTGCAGCATTCATTCATCCAACAAAATCAGTGCCAACTAAGGGCCTATCGTGCCATTATAAATACAACAAAATACACACACACAGAAGAGAATACAGAACACTGCTCCCAACTTGGACAAGTTCACAAAGAACACTACTTACACTACAATGTGATGAGCACTGTAAAATGATCTACCATGTCCAAGGCTAACAAGACCTTTCATTTGGGCACAATAGTTTTATGAAACAAGCAAGACAGTTACTATTAGACTAAAATTTCAATATCACAGGTGAGAAAACTGGGTTTCCAAAAAGTTAAGAATTTTCCCAAAGTTACATTTAAAAAAAATCAAGAGGAAAGAAATTTTTAAAAAGAAAAATATTCTGACAATTTTAAGTCAGGGCTCTTCCCTCTCAACTCTAATTCTAGGCCTTAAATCCCCAAGACTCTAATTCAATACAGCTGGAAGAAGGCCTGGAAATGTTGTTTTTAAAGCTCACCTAGTAATTCTGATAAGAAGCCAGGTTCAATAACCACCAGAACAGTGTTGAAGAACATAGCAATAAAGTTAGACACTACTGGCTCAGAATATTAGTTGGCACATTTATTATGTGACTCTGGGCAAGTGACTTGACTTCTCTTAAATTCCAATTTTCTTCTATAAAATAATAAGGATACTTAGCTCATAGCATCTACTAGATAACAGAGGAAATAACATACATAATATCCTGCCAAGTGTCTAAGATAAAACAAGAACTTGATAAATGATCATTAAAGGCAAAAAGCAGAAAGTAATAAAGGAAGGAGAGAGAGGGAAGGGAAAAACAAAGAGAGAAGAAAAAGCTAGACAAGCAATTGTGCTCCCATTTTAATTCAGATATAATTCATACCTCACTATTCATCCATAAAAAGCATACATTTTTAACAATGAAATTATGTTCTGAGATGTGTAAAGACAAACCAAGTTTCATAACAATGAATCTCATTTAATATGGTTGAAATAACAATATTTAGCTTACGTACAAAGTCTGTCCAGAAGGTATCCAGCTATGTTATATGAAAAATAGAGACATTTATTGAAGAAGACACAAGATACAAAAAACATTGTACATAAGACAATGACCTCACAGTCCCCTTCAAAGTAGGCATCTTGGGACCTCACATAGTTCTCCCAATCACCATCAGCTGCCCTGTCATATTTTCCTGAATCTCATCAATGTCTGAAAGTTCTTCCCTTTCAATGGTGATTTTAGTTTTGGGAAAAGCCATAAGTCACAGGGCACCAAATCTGGGCTATAGGGGTCTGAGTCACCTGGGTGATTTGATGTTTTGCCAAAAAACTTTGCACAAGAGGATGTATGTGGTGTATGAGTGAGTGCATTGTCATGATGAAGCTGCCAATCACCAGCTGACTATAGCTGCAACCTTCTGAATCATCTAAATAGTTTCCGTGTAGGAATGTTCAAGCTTAACAAAAAATCTGATGCAGATTCATTGCTCTACTTGCTCAGTCATTATGAATGTGATGGCCACACAGTATACACGCTCACTCAATGGCGTCTACAACCCCCACTAACTAGCAAGTGAAGCCGTCATTATTCACGCAAGTGCATTCCATTCCACTCTCCTTGGCTGCAAGGTTAAATTAATGTTGCATAAACCATTCTTGTTATATTAACAATGTCTGGACCTTTTCTAGACAGACCTCATATAACCTTAAAAAACCACTTCAGTCCTGGCCAGTGGGGCTCAGTTGATCTGGCATCACCCTGTAAACCGAAAAGTCACTGGTTTGACTCCTGGTCAGGGTACATGCCTGGGTTGCAGGTTCGGCCCTCAGTGGGGGCACATGAAAAAGACAACCAATCAATGTTTCTCTCTCACATTGATGTTTCTCTCTCTCTTTCTCCCTCCCTTCCCCTCTCTAGCATCAAAAAACAAGTGTTTTGTTGTGTTTTTTTAAAGAAATCACTTCACTTGGCTATTACTAAAATGTCAACTGGTAGTTACCAGGATGTCACACAAAGTGGCCAAAAGAAAGTAACCACCTTTTAAAGGAGATGTCTATACAAAGGTAAGGTTGAGTAACTAAGTAACTAAATAATGTAACCTGTCAAAGTAAGAGTTAAAAAAAGTCAAAGTTTATTCTGAAAGCATAAAAACTTTTATATATCTTCAATGAGCTATACAATGGGGGACCCCAAACAAAAACGGAATTATCTTCTGGAGATGAGCCCTTTGTAGTACAGGCTTCCCCCATTAGATGAGTGTTCAAGGAACCCATCTGTGTACCAGCTAGCATTGTTGTGAGGCTGTGTTCAGCTTCAGTGAATTTTTTTTTAAAACTCTTTCAACACATTTGCCTATTTCATGACGGGTGATTTACAAGTGCACCTGCCCACACTGTGCTGAGTATTTGGTATTTTTTTGACTAAATGCAACATGACCCCTCTGCCCCACCCTCCCTATTCACCCAATCTCACCCTGAGAGACATCTTTTTGTTTCACCAGATAAAAAAAGTCTTCAAAGGGAAATGTTTCATCAATGTGGAAGAGTTGAAGCAAAAAAAAAAAAAAATGACAGAAACACTAAAAGGCATCAAAATCAACAAGTTCAAAAACTGTTTTGAGCAGTGGAAAAAAGGTCTCAATAGGTGTATTACAACAAATGGAGAGAGTACTTTGAAGGTGACTAAAGTTTAAACATGCAAGAATAAATACACAATTCTTTATACATACATTGCAGGGTTGTTTTGGGTCCCCCCTCATATATTTTAAAATATGTATAATAACATGATTTCCATAATTTTAAGTCTGTGGTTTCCAACTGCAGGCTAATTTGTATTATAGGGGACATCTGACCACATCTGAAGACATTTTTGGTTGTCATGACTAGACCTGGAAATGCTGTTCTTACCTAGTGGATAGAAACCAGAGATACTGCTAAACACCCTACAATGCACAGGAAAGCTCCTCTCCCAAACAAAAAATTACCTGTCTCCAAAGGGCAGCATGTTCATGGCTGAGAAATCCTGTTTTAACTCTCAAAAGCAGGACATAATATTGAACATAAAATGCCATTAGAACAGAAGCCCATTAGTAAGTTGTACTTCCACCACACATTGGTTGTCATAGTATTTACCCAAAACAAGTTGGAAAGGAGCCAATATGGGTGTAGCATGAAGTAGTTGAGAACTGGCTTTGTCATCGAAGAATTCCAAAGTGGAATCCAAACTAATTCTCACCATGTTCAAACATAAGTTGTTAACTATAAAAATACTCCTGGTAATACCTATCTCTTAGAGCTATTATAAGAAATATTAAATGAGAAAATATTTCTAATAGGCTTAGCCTAGAGGCTGGGACTCAGTAAGATCATACATAATGAATGCTAAGTATTAGAAAAGGAATATAATTCTTTTCCAATATTGAACCCAAAATATAATAAAAACTGAATTTGTTACACAATTATCAAGTTACCCACCTTCTGAACATAAAACTCCTGGTACAAAACCTGTCTATTCTAGAACCATGACCATTTCTTCTCTATCATTTCAAAAGTGTTTTACCTTCACCTGATTCATCACTTCCACTGGAACTCCAAGTTATTTCCGTAAGCCTACTGGTACTCTTAGATGTAACTGTTTCTGTTAAAGAAGAAGAAAATACATTTAAAAAACAATCACCTAATATAGTTACCAGAATGAGATTTAATGCACGTCTCTTTGACAGAGTTACTAATAACACACATTCTGATACCAGTGGGGACAATGTCTTATGTCAAATCTTCCTGCCTAAAATTGTATGTGCAACCGGGGTAAGATGCTTTAAATTGGGTAAGATGCTTTAAATTGAAGCCCTATTACAAGAAGAAAAAGAAGTAGAACTATTTGAAATAAGTTATAAAAGACAAGAAAAATGACTGGAGCACAAAAAGATAACACTGCAATAATAATGGACTGTTTAACATCCTAGAATACTTCCTAAGACAAAACAAAACAAAAAAAAACCAACACTCAAAACAAAACAAATCACAAACTACAAAACCAGAACTTATGTATAATAGAAATGCTTCTGTGCACCTCCTTTGCTGTATTAAGAGCAATGGTAACAGGAATACACTTAAAACTCTTAACAGAAAAACTTTAATTACACTAATTTTAAGATAACAGAACATATAGTTGTAAGAAATAACAGAGAAAATTTTTGTATTCTTTCCCTAGTTCCTCAAGTGATATTTTACAAAACTACATTACAACCAAAATATTGATACTAATACCATCGAGATATAGACAAGTTCTATTGCCAGAATACCTTATATTAATTTTTAAATTGTATTTTTCAAGTATAACTTACATTCAGTATTATTTTATATTAGTGTAAAGTGTACAGAATAGTGGTTAGACAATTATGTAATTTATGAAATGATCCTCCAGATAATTCTGGTACCCTACATAGTTACAATATTGTTGACTATATTCCCTATATTATACTTTACATCCCCTATTTTATAACTGCCAATTTGTACTTCCCAATCCCTTCACCTTTTCCACCCAGGCCCCCATTTCCTCTTCTGTCTGCCAAACATTAGCTTGCCTCTACATTTATGAGTCTGTTCCTGTTTTTTTTTAATTTATTTTGTTCTTAGATTCCACATATGAGTAAAATCATATGGTACTTGTCCTTCTCTGTCAGACTTGTTTCATTTAATATAAACCTCTAGCTTCATCCATGTTGTCTCAAATGGAAGGATTTCATTCTTTTCATAGCCGAGTTAACAACAGTACACTGCATATTAGTACCACATCTTCTTTATTCACTCTGGTGATGGAGACTTATATACCTTCCATGTCATGGCTATTGTAAATAACACTGCAATAAACATAGGGAAGACAGCATCCTAGGTCCATGTGTGAGGAGGACTCAACACCAGGACACTGGTGACTGTCCCTCTAGCCCTCACCTGGAAGCCATACAACTCAGTCTCTTTGTATGACTCTGGTGCACCCCTAGCTGTTTTTCTATTCATGTTCATAATTAACCTAAACTGCTAGCATTACTAAAATTGTCTATCCTTCAAAATATAAAATTAAAAATAAATTGTTCAGAATAACATAAGAATCTGTATTGATTTAAATAGCTAATAAAAATAAGCTATGTAGTTGCTTGCAAAAACACATTATCAATCTTTCATTATTTTGTACCTGGAAAAGTAAATCAAAAGGAGGTGGATGGCTACCTATTGAATGTGTCTCCCTAAAATTCACATGTTGAAACCTAATCCCCAATGTGATGGTTTTAAGAGGTGAGATCTTTGAGGGCTCCACTCTCATGAACAGAATTACTGTCCTATTTAAAAAAAAAAAAAGCCCCAGAGAGATCCCTGGTCCCTTCTGCTATGTGGTAAGGCACAGGGTACTGTCTCTGCACCTTGTACTGAACTTTCATCCTCCAAAACTGTGAGAAATAAAATTTCTGCTATTTATAAATCACCCAGTCAATGGTATTTTTGTCAACAGCCTGAATGGGCTAAGGAAGGAAATTAACAGTATTCTTGTGATTATATAACAAATTCATGGAATAAGCCTATGAATTATAGGCACTTAACTGTATAATTTATATAGGTAAAACCACTACAAGGAATTTATTAGTCAGTAAGTCATTTTATTTGCGGAAAAGAGTTATTCTTGAAATCATGTCCCATTCCAGTGAAACTCCAGGAAGGACACCAGCCAGACTATAGGAATACTTACCACACATGTGTAAACATCTCTGGGTGTGCACTATGTGCCACGCACTATGTTAGCACCTGATGTTATGGGTCTAACACCAAAATTTATTCATATATTAAATTTAACACCCAGCATCTTAAAATAGGACACTATGTGGAGAAAGGGTCTTCACAGAGTTAATCAAGTTAAAGTGAGGTCTTTAGGATGGCCTCTAATGATAGTTATCATTATAAAAAGAAGTAATTTAGACACAGAATTAGACATTTAGAAAGGGATGACAATATGAAAAGACACATGGAGAAGACAGCCATCTATAAGCCAAGAAAAGAAGCCTAGGGAAGATCCTAAAAGGAACCAACCTTGTCAATACCTTCACTTTGGACTTCTAGCCTCCAAAACTGTCAGATATTAAGTTTCTGTTGTTCAAACCCCCCACTTTGAGATATTTTATTATGGTGGCCTTAGCAAACTAATATACCTAAGGATATAAAGATGAGCAACAGAGAAGGGTATGCCCTTAAGAAAGCCATGGTCCAATGAGGAGAAAACCAGGTCAACATAATCTTAAAAATTTAGTAATGCATCTCAAGGATCAGATTTCTGACCTCAATAACAAAATTTTTGCAGGGTATTTCAGGAAAAAAATATTAGTTCTTATTTACTTCATAGTTCCATTTTGTTTGGTAAATACATTTTTTTAAAAAAAGTTCTGCCTTCTTAATCACTATCACTATATACAAAGGTTCCAGTCCTTTTTAAGTTTTTATTTTTCCATCTCCCTTGAACATTCTGGCAAAATCCTTTGCTAACATCCATATGCTTTCTTCTGTCACCTCTTCCCACCTCCTCTACTTCCTCCCCTTCTTTAGTCTTCTCTGGTTCACAGTCCTTACAGATGAATAAATAGAGACATGGAGACATGTCTCTGCCTTTTTTGCACTTTGCAAAAGTACGTTCTCCCACTTGTTTCCCAGCTCAGATAAAAATATTACTTCTACACACTAAAATTTCTGTTAATAGCCTGCCTTTCATACTTTAGATGCTACCAATTTCAAATAAACCAGTTCAGAGAAATGCCTTGAACGTCTTTCTCTATCAATTTCTGTTTGTAAGCTTTTGTTAAATTATTAACAAAATTATCTTGCTTTTGCAAGCTGCTTATGCTGTAAAGTAATTATACACAGATATAAGCTCTTCCAGCCTTTCAGAATATACTGAACATTCTACAGAGTAGAAAGTACAGCACAGTAGTAAGTCAAATACTGGGTTGGTCAAAAAGTCCAGTCAGTTTTTTCTGTAAAATAAAAGACACATTCTTCATTTTCACAAATAACTTTATTGATTTGGATATTTTGAGTATGCTGGCTATCTCCCACATAGTAGAACACTGGTTATTCTCAATTAATGTCTCAATTTGATAGCTATCAATTTCAACTGGTCTACCCAACCAATGTCCAGCAAGAAATCTCCAGCATAAAACTTCGAAAACCACTTTTAACACATTTGATTAGTCATAGCACCTTCTCCATACACTGCACAAATCTTTTTGTTTTTCAGCTGCATTTTTACCTTTCTTGAAATAATATGGCATAATATGTTGAAATGTTGCATATTTTCTTCCATCTTCAATATTAAGATAGCTACACAAAAATTCACCAATTGTTATAAGATTTTTTAAAAGATTTTATTTATTTATTTTTAGAGAGGGAAGGGAGGGAGAAAGAGAGAGGGAGAGAGAAACATCAATGTGCGGTTGCTGGGGGCTGTGGCCTGCAACCCAGGCATGTGCCCTGACTGGGAATCAAACCTGCGATGCTTTGGCTCGCAGCCCACGCTCAATCCACTGAGCTACTCCAGCCAGGGCCAATTGTTGTAAGTTTTTTTTTTTAATGCACGCTGTTATGATAGATGTCACAATACAATCTATCACAATTGTTTCAAATGAAGTTAAAGACAGCTAAACCTACTAGTGTCACCTAAGGGAAAAAAACAAACTTTTGGCCAACTCAATCTATACTGGCATGAGGAAATCAATTCCAAAAGATCCTTTGTAATTAGATAAAAGCCAGCAGAGGAAATCAATTCCAAAAAATCCTTTTTTAATTAGATGAAAGGCAGAAGAAAAGATCTTTTTGTAATTAGATAAAAGTCAAATCCAAGTTGAATTTAACTATACTTAAAATGTCCAGAGAAAGATATGCCACAACTATAAAATATTATTTTCTCCATACAATATATTTTGATACTTTCAAAATCAGAATTAACTGACCTTTGAAAAATCACAGCATTTGGCAGGACTAAGAAAAGTTAAATTCTGCAGACCCATTAGAAGATTATGGTATTACAAAAATATGTGTGACAGTTTATTTTATAATACAGAATATTAGGAATTTTTTAAAATTTGAGAAAATTTATTTTCACTTGCAAAAAAGAGCCCTCTTAAATGTTAGTGAAATAATAGTATAGCTCAAAGTGCTTAGTCTCTTATTTACAGTTTTCCCACTCTGCAGAACTATGACCAGGCTTCACATAGTTCTTTTTACCATCAGACATAATAGCAATTGAGCCAGGCATTTTTCTTACTTTTATTTTTAAGTTCACAATAATCCAATAAGGCACACATTCTTAGTCCCATTTTCCACATGCAGAAACTGACACTCAGCATGTTTAGCTTGCTTCCCAAGATCACAGAGTCAGGACACAGTCAGGATACTATGTGCCAAACGAGATCCCTGAAGTCTCAAACCCCCACTCTCCCTGCCCACCGACAGCATAACTGAGTGTGGCAGCAAAGTCAATGCTGCCTGATACCCCAGCCCTCTTTTTTCTTACTAACTAAAATTTTATTAGAGCAGCAACACACATTTTTAAAAATCTTTCGTTTCACTGAGGTCTCTTTAGTGGAGGTAGCCAAACATAACAGGTTCTGGCCAAAACTAGAGGTCCTGGAGAGGGAATTTCTTCCCAGACAAAAAGTTTACTTGGAGAAAAATCTTCAGGCTCCACATTCTTCCTGAGAACTGGGCCTGAAGAAGTCAGCTTCCACCTCATTAGCCACAAGGACATACCCCACACTAACACCACAGAACTCAGAAAGAGCCCCATTTTTTCAAACACTCCAACAGAAACTCTATTTGAAACTCTAACGGATAGCTTTCCTTAATTTGCCAGGTAAGGATTTCATTGCCTTAAGTAGTGTAAGTCATAATTTTATTTTGCAAATGAGAGCTTTTTTTAAACCTTGGAGCTATGATCCTGAGCTAATCTACCAGGCTCTGTTGATAACAATGAACCCAGAAAGAGCACACACAAAACTTTAATAATTACCTATAGGAAGTAGGAAAAATGGAGTAGTAACAAAGGTGAGAGAATTCTGAAAAACAAAAACAAAAACAAACAAACAAAAACCCCAAACACCTTATTATATTATTTGAATGTTTTTTAATATGAATATGTAATCTATTCAAACTATGTAAATAACAGTTTAAAAGAAAGCAAATAAATCATAGAAGATATATTATCCTTATATCTTTTCTATCAAGAAATCAACAAAATTATTACCTTTTTTGGGACTAGCAAATAATTCAAGGTGCTTTTCTGTAATAGTCTTCTTTTCAGCTGCTAATGACTGCAGATAATAATAAAAATAAACAACAACAACAACAACAACGTAGTAATTTATGTGGCCAGGGCTAAAAACCAACAGTAACTCGTAGAATATTCAAAACCTTAGCTATACCCACCTTAACATGTCCCTCTGTTTTCCTTTATTTATATTTACCAGTAATTATTCCCAAAGCGCACATTCTTCATATACTTATAATTTTTTCCTGAATCTAAACAAAAAGCTGCTTAACATTTAGCTTATAACAGTATTCTTCCATATTGTATTTTCAAGATACATTTACAAAAATTAACCATAATATCTCACTGCCAAAAAATTCTGAATATATATGCATTTCATAAATATACCTCTTATAAAGAAGAGGATGCTCAGTGTTCTTTTGAGAACCTTCTTCTCAAAAAATTCTCAGTAGGTGTTCTCCATATACAAACAAAGAAGTATAAAGGGTCTGCATGACATAAATAGGTGAATACTAACTTGCCACAGTTATTAAAGGGATTAAAAAATGAGGGAAAACCCTGTCTGGTGTAGCTCAGTAGTTTGAGCATGGGCTGCGAACCAAACGGTCGCCAGTTTGATTCCCAGTCAGGGCACATGCCTAGGTTGTGGGCCAGGTGCCCAGTGGGGACCACATAAGAGGCAACCACGCATTCAAGTTTCTCTCCCTCTCTTTCTCCCTCCCTTCCCCTCTCTCTAAAGATACATAAATAAAATCTTTAAAAGAATGAGGGAAAAAAAGTATGGTAATATACTGATGATAGTATCCTGAAAGAAAATAAGAAAGAGAATTACAAAGAAATATAATTATAGTGGCCTAAACACTCAGATTCTAAACAATTTTACAACTACTTTACCGGAATCCCAGAAGTATCCTGAAATCCTTCTTCACACCTGAGCCATGCTTCTGAGAGGGAAGCAGCTGCCCCCACTGTCCTGAGGCCTGTTCTTCTGAGCTGTAGTGGACCATCTCCTGGAAAGGATGGGTATTCCAGATCCAAATTTCTTTTTCTCTGTAGAGATAATTTGTAAAGAAAAAAAAATCAACTTCATTAAATTGACAATTAACAATACGGCAATCCAGGAATGGCAGCAATGAAGGCATAGTTTAAATTTTATCTTTTTTGTTTAATCTTCATTGTATTTTTTCCATTACCATTTAGTGCCCTTATCACCACCCCTCCTGGCAGCAATCACCACACTGTTGCCCAGGTCCATGAGTCCTTTTTCCTGTTTGCACAATCCGTCCACCCCCTCACTTTTTCCCCTCCCAACTAGCTGTCATCCTGCTGGTTTTTAAATGTCTCTGAATCCCCACATAAAGAAAGAATAATGAGGTAACAAAACCAAAAGTACATGGAAAACAATTACAGCCAATCAAGGAAGTCAAAATACAAATAGGTGAGAATCAACAATCAACCCTCCAAACTCATGCATGGCATCATATCTCAAAGGCAAGAAGCTGAGAGAAGCAAGGGAGCAAAGGAGCACTTGTGTACACAGACATCTGGTGTTCACTAGTGAGTGAAGCAGACCATCTGAGAATGGTACCTCAAAAGGGGTGAGGGCAGGGGCTCCACCCAAGATCCAAGGGGTGAAGAAGTCTAGGACACTTAAAAACCAGTCAGCTAGGACTACCTTCCCAGAAAGGGCCCAGCACTGAGGAGAGAACTGTTAGGAGTGGAATCTGTTCAGCAGTAAAGGATGGAAGAGACAAAACAAAACAAAACAAAACAAAACAAAATGTCCAAATTGAGTGGTGGAAGGGAACAAAGCTAAGAAATATCTAAATAAATAAATAAGAGAACATATTTTTGCAAACTACAAAAACAACAGAAGTTATAAAAGCTATCTTGAACTCTGCCTCCTAAAAATTCAGAAAAACTGTAAAACAAAAATAAGCAATAGAATGGGATCAGAGACAAATCCCGAAGTTATTATTAGAAAGAAACAAAAAAGAGCAAAACAATATCCCCATACAGAAAGAAAGCATATAAAGACATGCCCATCAAACAGAAAAACAAAACAAAACAAACAAAAAAAAACCCTACCTGTAACCTACTACAGTAGGTCTTTGAATAACATGTTAGATTCAATATCATTTCATTATAATGTTGACAGAAAAAAAGATCAACTCCTGGCCTGAGGCCACTGCTAAAGGCTCTCCCCACGACTGTATGGATTTTCTGGGGGCGCTCCGGTTTCTGCCCACATCCTGAAGATGTGCACATGAGCTGAGTGGTGAGTCTGAATGTCCCAGTTTGGGTGACTGTGGGTATATGAGTTTGCCCCTGTGATCGAAGGGTGTTCTGTGCAGAGTGGGTTCCTGCTTGGTGCTCTGAGCTTCAGGGATAGACTCTTGTTTGTTTTCATTAATCTCTCTTAAATTATGTATAGCTTACATTAATTTCAATGTTTAAGATTAGAAGACTTGGGTCTTTATGTGGAAGTTTGGTGATGTTTTCATAACCAGAAATGGGCCACTTGTTTACTCTAATTTATATCAAATAGCCTATGGGAAAACTGGCTTTTATGTGTCATTTTACTTGAAGTTTTTAGGAACCTACTGGCAATGTTAAGTGAGGGTTTACTGTATTTTAAAACAAAGTAAGGTATTCAGATTACTGAAATGTTACCAAACTCAAGGGGTTCGCTGATTGGGCTATTTTATTCAAGAATGGGATGTGGTTGTCATTAGGCAGTTTTATTCACTTGCAGCAAGTAAAGGAGACAGGAAATCCACATCCAAATCTCCCTCTTCCCAAACGGAGGCTTAGCCACTGCTTATATACACTATATGATCAAGTACACATTGATTTCTTCTTTGCAGTTGGCTAATGAAAAATACTGTGCTACATTTTTAACATTTAGTAAGAATAGCATTTAGTAAGAACCATTCAGACCTTGATACTTTTGTCCTATCTAACAAAAGCTCAGAAATGAAATGACAAAACTTAAGAAGTACAATACAATTTTTAAAAAATCACCCCATACTTCCCCATACACTTAAAAAAAATTTGTATGTTAGGATGTATTTGTTTTTTTTGTCTTAATGACTATCTTTGAATACTTTTAATTGTTCTAACAATAATTGGTGTATTTGGATAAAACACACATTACTGCTTAGAGCAATCCTGAAGCAGAATAAAAATGAAGGAAAGCTAAGGTGTCTTGATATTTAGCAACCTTCTGAGTCTTCTTCATGTTAAATTACTTGCCAGTCAGTGGTAGAGCTGGATCAAGATTTTAATTCTAGCATCTAGTCAATAAAATCATGGGCAGAAATTATGCATTAAAAAATCACTTGGAGAAAAACAAAAGGGCTAAATCAGAAGGGACTCAAGAACAAGCAGATATCACAGATAATATATTAAGAGAAACAGAAGGTAATGAGAAGGAAATTTTAAAGTTTACCCTTCAAAGAAGAAAAAAAGGATTAAAGAGAAATAGCGTGATCAAGTCTCTCTTGGGACCCAGCATACAGAAAATAGGAATCCCTGAAGAAGAGAACCAAAGCAATGAGAAAGAACAAATATTAGAAACTACAATTTCAAAAACCTTTACTGAAATTTAAAAAAAAGGAAATTACATATTGAAGCATACCACATTCCAGAAAATATCAACCCAGAAGCAATAAAAAAGATATATTCTAGTAAATAGACTTAAAATAAAAATAACTTCCAAGTGAATAAAAAATACTATCATCAAATGTTGACAGCAATGCTTTATACCAAAAGAAAATAGAATTACATATTTAAGATACTCAAAGGAAGAAAATGTGAGCAAAGGAGTTCATATCCAACAACACTGATAACACTGACTTACGTTGCAAGCATTTTGTTTGTTTTGTTTACAAATGTCTACAACAGACATGTATTCATTTCATAAGTTTTTAAATTTGCATTTTAAGTAATATTTTACATTCGCAGTGGGAATCAAATTAAGGTCCACTACTATGAGTTGATCACCAAATCATAAATAAAACCCCTCGATACCATGTAGATTTAAAAAAAATTCAGTCATGGGACTTCCGGCAAGATGGAGGAACAGGTGGACGCACCGTACCTCCTCACACAACCAAGATTAGAACAACAATAATTTACAACAATAATTTACAGATAGAATAACACCCAGAACCGATAGACGATTTATCTGAATGGAAGTTGGACAGCCAAGAAGTTGAAGTAGACCCGTACATCCAGACTGGCAGAAGAAGACAAGCCGGGCGGGCGCGGGGCTGGCGCGGGTTGGCAGCGCGTGGAGGTTGGGGAAAATTTGGCGCAAAATCGGCGCGACAGCCATCCGGAGCACAAGAACGCGGCGGTGATCCCTGAGTACGCAAGCTGCGGCTGGTGGACCCAGTGAGGCACCGATTGTGGACCACGGCAGAACCCCGCAGCCCAGGAGCCCAGAGAAGGGTCTGAGCCCAGGAGAACAGAACTACCACCATTGTCCCCTCCCGCCCCCGCCCCCGCCCCCACATATAACGTCACAATCTAGCGATGGGGTACCCAGCCCCCGTGAACACCTAAGGCTCCGCCCCCCACCATAACAAGAACGACCAGACTGGGAAAAAAAAAGAGAGACAGGGAAAGACATGTATCCAAAAGAGCAGATCAGTCCCCCAGGACTCATCCTTTGGAGCGACCAGGAAATAGCCAATCAATCAGATGCACAGTTCAAAACACTGGTGATCAGAAAGCTCACGGAATTGGTTGATTTTGGGCGCAATTTAGATGAAAGGATGCAGGTTACCATAAAAGAGATGCAGGAAGACACGCGGAGGAGAGCCAATAGTGAAAGGAAGGAATCTGAGTCTCAAAACAATACAGTGGACCAGAAGGAAGATAGAATCAACCAAGCAGGAAACCATGATGAAATGAGAATTCAAAAAAATCGAGGAAAAGCTTAAGAGCATCCAGGACACCTTTAAACGTTCCAACATCCGAATTATAGGAGTACCAGAATGGGAAGGGGAAAAGCAACAAATTGAGCACGTATTTGAACAAATAATAAAGGAGAACTTCCCCAATCTGGCAAAGGGAACAGTCTTCCAAGAAATCCAAGAAGCTCAAAGAGCCCCAAAGAAGTTGGACCCAAGAAGAAACACACCAAGGCACATCATAATTACATTAGCCAAGGTAAAAAAGAAGGAGAGAATCCTAGAAGCAGCAAGAGATAAGGGGACAGTAACCTACAAAGGAGTTCCCATCAGACTGTCAGCTGATTTCTCCAAAGAGACCTTACAGGCAAGAAGGGGCTGGAAAGAAATATTCCAAGTCATGCAAGACAAGGACCTACATCCCAGATTGCTCTATCCAGCAAAGCTCTCATTTAGAATGGAAGGGAAGATAAAGTGCTTTTCAGATAAGGTCAAGTTAAAGGAGTTCATCATCACCAAGCCCTTATTTTATGAAATGCTAAAGGGACTTATCTAAGAAAAGAAGATAAAGAAAAGACATGTATAGTAAAAGGACAGCAAACTCACAATTATTAACAACCACACCTAAAGCAAAACAAAAGAAACTAAGTAAACAATTAGAACAGGAAGAGAACCACAGAAATGGAGGGCACATGGAGGGCTAGCAGCAGGGAGGTGGGAGGAGGAGAGAGGGGGAAAAGGTATAGAGAATAAGTAGCATAGAATGTAGGTTGAAAATTGATAGGGGGAGGGCAATAATAGTACGGGAAATGTAGAAGCTAAAGAACTCATAAGTATGACACATGGACATGAACTAAAGGGGGGAAACGTGGGTGGGAGAGGGGGTACAGGGTGGAGGGAAGAGAAGGGGGAAATGGGACAACTGTAATAGCATAATCAATAAAGTATATTAAAAAAAAATTCAGTCATGACATAGATGTATTTTAACGTGTAATACCTATAAGCATATTGCTACCGTGTAGGAATTTCTATGGTAGCAGCAGGTCTACGAGAGGCATCTGTAGTTTTTACCTTCTATAAGTGTACAGTTTCCCCTCACAGCTGTGACAAAACTCACTTAGTTATATAAAA